ACAATGAAAGTCCTTTTTGGTCATATTCGGCCAACGAAATCGGTGTATTATATATCATCGTGTTTCATGAAATTTTTTTAAGTGTTTCGCGTGTAAAAATTTTGTACAAACATTCGAATACGTTTTTAACCTCTAACTGGTTCACGGACCATAACGAGTGACCAAATCATATACAATAATTCGTCGCTTTCTTCTTGAAGTCGGTACGATATCGCTGGATAGAAATTATTACTAAGAAGCAATAAATTTATTATTTGTTTTGCCTGAGTTATACTTAAATATACTTAAAACTGAGAAAATATTGCAATTTTGGGACAAAAAGTTCTCTTTGAGACAAAAAGAGGTTAAGGAGGAACGTTGCGGATCAAACAGGCGACAAGCAACTTGCGATGTTAAACCTGACAGGGTTTCATCCAGTTCAATGAGGTTCGAATATGTACGTAGTAACTCGAAGCCGTTTCGAGCGAATTGACGCTCGTTGGCGAATAGTTAATCACGTTATGATAGGCACTGCCAAGTCGGACGAAAATAAATCGTCCCCTCGCTCGTTAAGCGCATCTCAACGATGCGAAATAGTTAATTAGAAGGAGCGCAAGTAGGGTTCTGCGGTCTCGCGCACAGTACAAACCGTGTTTCTCCTTTACCAAACGACGAATCTTTGGCAACGATGAAAAGAAATGTACTGCAAGATTCAAGTTTTGTTTCTTGCAACAAAAAACGATCTTCGTCTATGTGACAGTTGAAACATGCTCCAACATCTTTCGTTTCATTTATTTTTGATGTTAAAAAATATTAAATATTAAAAAAAATCTTGGATATTAAAAAGAACACTCGGTCACGTAGATTTCGTTTAATTAAATTCAGATTTTTACCAATATGATCGATGAAATTTGGAAAATGTTTTACATACACAGTGTGTTGATATTGGTTTCTATCAATATTTTCCCGATACGGGGAAGTAGAAATGACAGTTGCTTGCAAGAAATATTAGTCATTATCAAAATTCTATAAATAATTATATAATATCATTGTCAATTCTATAAATAATTCTATAAATAATTGTACAATATTATTAATATCAATTTTTATTATTAATATTATTATACTATATCAATTTCATAATTGCAATTTTATTAATGTACTATAACAACTGTTTAAAAGATACGGGTACTCTTGTCAAAATTGATATTAATTTCTGTTTGGACAAACAGTTGTACAAACTTATCCATCTTAATTGTCATTTAAATTACAGTGACTCATACGTAGAATATCTCGATACGGTTTCTAATGTTAATAGATATTTTCACTTATTTATTTATATATCAACATTTTGGGCAATCAAAATCAAGTGCACGTGTGTGAAAGTGTCAACTATTCAACATTACTAATTTTACATATATTAATTATATAAGTAAAATTAAAAAAAAGAATTAAAATAAATTTAAACTTAAAATTTGACATTATTAAATTAATAGTGAAACTTAAGATAAATATTTTCACAATCAAATGCAATAAAAATTTAAAATTAAAAATAAATTTTCTTAAAAATATTATGATTATTATTACAAATATTTATGAATTTATCTTCATATTTGTAAATCAAATTTAATATTAAATTACTAGATAATAAATTATTTATAATACGAGTAGACTAAGAAATAGTAAATATTGTTCGTAGTATTAAAATAAAAATACTAAATATTCTTATTCTTTTTTTTTTTTTAATATAGTTCCGCGAACTCTGTGCGTACACACAGGCGCCGAAGCGCACAGTGTTTTCACGTTGTAAATACTGAAGAGTACTGTCCGCCTGGCAAACATCGGGCCCAATTTTTGTCGAGTCTGTACGACGAGCGTTTGTTTATTTCCCGCGAGTGATGCTCCTTTTGTGAGGCTTGCACTGATTCCAGAAGCATTTCAGTTGAAGGGGGAAGGTTTTCGTGGAAGAAACTCGAAACGACGATCGCCCGTTTTCTATCTCACGCGACATTCCGCGCTGCGAGTGAAATTGGCATGCGGCAAAAAATAGCATATTTAATTATAGGTCAAACTCGAGATTCCGCGGTGCGGCTGTTTAAATAGCTACGCGTTCGACGGCCAACAAACACTTTTGAAAAAAAAAAACACGACGAAAACAAGCCTGTATACCCTTTGTAATCCGGTGTGTGCAACACGTTGCTAGATTTTCATACATTTTTCAATTCTTATAAACGCAACTTTCACTCTTCTTTGAATACTTTATACATCGTTTATATATTTTGATATTTTAATAATAATAATTATTTATATATTTTAATATTATTTTAATAATAATAATAATTTATATATTTCGATATTTTAATATAAATGATAAGATCCATGTATTTTATATTAAATTGTTGCTCTGAATTTAAACAAATCAATGACCATATCGAACGATATATATCAAGTTCTATCAAAGTAAATAATGGCTCGTTTCGAGCCGAAGTAAATCGGATGAACACTCGTGAATGTCCATAAACTCGAGTGTCCTCTCCTCGTTTCTCAGTCTTCAATCTTATCAACTCCGTGACTCGCGGAACAATGAAAACAATGTGCCTCGTGGTGAGTAATCGTTGCCTGTGCCCTCAGGTAGCTAATTGTAAGAGAGCGCGTGAATGCGAGAGAGACAGAGTTATATATACAGGGTCGAAGAAGGACGGAGCGAGCAACGAACCCGTTCAGACACTGTTAGTCATACGCATACCTGCCTACTTAGGGGAATTCGAAGCCAAGTATGGCGAGAGAGACCTTGCGTTATCCAAATTGATGGTTTTTCTACGGGTAAGCGCTTTCGTTGCCTCCCGAGTCCTTTTGTTACAAACTGTTTAACTGTAATTTAAAGAAGTTACAATTAATAGAAATGCTTATTACTTTGTTGCGGCAAATAGTCAAATTTGGTATTGAATCGAACCTGAAGAAATACGAAGAAAAACGAAAAATAACACTTACTGTTTTAAATGAGAATATTTCCAAGATTATACCTAAGAAATTATTGTAATCTTTTCCGGACTTTCTATCAGGGAGCAACAATGGTGCAGGTAGTCAAATCTCAGGTACCTGAATTGAACAGTTAATCATTGTATCGAGTGTAATAAAAACCGATAAAGAAATAGAATTAAAAAAAAAATCCAAAAAAAAAGAAAAAAAATTTTGCGAAAATTTTATTTCCAATTTCTTTTTGAAAAGGATTTCACCGCAGTAGACGGAGACTCGAAGTTACTTCTCGTGAAAGTAAATAAACGTTCGAAGAGAACGAGACTAATATGCAAAGTGGAACAATACACGTTTCTGCATTATTGGTGAATCTAGCCTGGGTGTTGCGCACGATGTTGCACAATCTCGTCATAGCGGAGGATTGCTTGCGACGCGTCGTTGATAGGAGCATTCAACTCGCGATAAGATAATGTTCGTGATTAATCGCTTCAAGTCCAATCTGCGGAGTTGTTTGCGGGAACGAGAGCACGACAATCTGTGAACTATGCGCGACTATCATATATATATATATATATA